AGCAAACTTTTTTAGAACCCTCCAAATTCTGAAAGAATCAAAATCACAAGTACAAAATCAACCCTCAAACCAGTCCCATAGACAATTGTGATATAATCATCAATCCCACCCTCATGACCCAAAGCTAATGATCAAAATCAAAAGCAAAAAGTCCACAAAGATCTTCCTCAAAACAACAAAATTCAATGCCCCTCCCAAATCCCTAATTGCACCAACCAAAGCCTTTATCTCTTCTAGACAACCTTCTAAACTCCATCCAACAAGCCCCCTAAAAATTACGCTTTTAATGGTATTCTTTCTCGCAACACCACCTTGACCTCAAACTTCATCATCACAAAATTCATCACCCTTTCTTTTTCTCTAATTCCAAGAATATTTTTTTTGGAAATCAATTTCATTAATATTAGAGAAACAGTACAACCAGAAGTTGTGAAGTAAACAAAGAGGACACAGGTGCCCAAACCCCCCAACAATTACACAAAAGCCCAGAACATTGAGTGTCTTTGTACCCCTTGTTTAGCCAAACTGTTGGCCGATCTTCTAACCCAATTAATTAGAAGCAGCATATCCCTGGAGAGCCTTTTGAATTTCCTAAGGCCATTCTTTAGGTGCCAAGAGACTCCTTCCCCTTTTCTTAACCAGTCCACAACTGTTCTGGAATCACCTTTAATAATTAGCCTTCCCAGGCCCAGTTCCTTGGCCTTCTCAAGCCCAAAAACAGCATCTAAGAATTCTGCAGAAGCCAGAAGCCACATCAGAATGCCCAGCTGGACCTGAGAATAAGGCACAAATATTGCCTTCCTCATCCCTTATAGTTCCTCCAATGCCTGCAGGGCCTGGATTACTCACACTACTCCCGTCAAAGTTCAATTCAAACCAGCCATGGGACGGAGGAGACCAGACCACTGATACCACTTGTCTTCTATAAGAAGCAACTATAATCCCCCATGACCAAAAGAAGTCATCAACCTGAAATTCTGAGAACAAGCTCAAGGTCTTAACCCAATGAGCCACTCAAAGGGTTATTGGCCTCAACCAAAGCTTCCTTAGTTCTTTCCTTTTCCCCGAAAATTCTAGAGTTTCTCTCTTCCCAGACTCCAAACAATTGTTGTCCTTGTACATTTCCACATCAGTCTACCTCTTTTAGTAGCGCACCTGCAAACAGAAGGAGAAAACAGCCCTTCCAAGCTAACAGGAGAGAGCCACCTGCAGCCAAAAAGTGAGGCAAACTGTTCCCAGATAAAGCCAACAAAAGGACATGAGATTAAAAGATGAAGAGAAGTCTCACCATTAACCTTGCACAAGCTGCACCAGTTGGGGGACAAACACCAGTTTGGCCTTTTTCTTTGAAGCTTATCACAAGTACTAATGCAACCATGAAACACTACCCAACAAAAAGCACTCACTCTAGGAGGAATGGGAGGACACCAAATTTTCTTCAGGGAGAAAAATGGGGAAGGGGGGGAGAGGAAGCAACAAGGGAAGTGAAAAAGGATTTACAAGTGAAAGCCCCAATTGAGTTAAGGTTCCAGACCCTATCATCCACACCCCCATCCCCAAGAACCACAGAATTCAACAAGGAGAGCAGATCAGACACAAGGGGAACTTCAGACTCTCTTAAATTTCTAATAAAATCCAAATTCCAGTTAAGATCAGAAGAAGATGGGGATGAACAAAGGAAACCGGCCTGCCTTTAAAAGAGGAAATATCAAAAAAGAGAAGGGAAGACCTCCAATAAAGGGGTTTCCCCGACCCAAATATCCTCCCAAAACCTGATCTTTTGACCTGAGACCAAATCATACCTGATGTGATTGAGGAAGGCAGGAAGACAGTCATGGATGGCTTTCCAAGGAAACACCAAGGAAGTTCTATGAAGACAACCAGCATCCCATCCATTGTTTGACAGCCCATGAATGTGATGAGTTACCGCTCACCTCAGAAGCCCTTTCGAGGGTGGCTTAACCTCCTGAAACAGAAGATGGGGGGG